TACTACTTAGCTAGTACTACGAGTACTACTAACTAGTACTACTAGTACTACCAGTACTAGTACGACTAGTACTACTAGTACTACTAGTACCACTAGTACTACTAGTACTACTAGTACTACTAGTACCACTAGTACTACTAGTACTACTAGTACTACTAGTACTACTAGTACTACTAGTACTACTAATACTACTAGTACTCCTAGTAGTACTAGTACTACTAGTACTACTAGTACTACTAGTAGTATGTTTTCATTCTTACCTTCAACATCTTTCTCATTTTCGGCAGTGTTTCGTGCTCTTGCTGTTGCTGCTCCCAGAAATGGTTTCAACATTGATGTTCTGTTCTGGTAGAACACATCGTTTCTTGGTTCCCCGTTTCCATGACGGATGATACCCTTAGGTTGTCACCAGTCACCAGTCATGTCTCACCATTATCGCCCAGCTACAGACGTAGCAGGGTGGCACCCGGTCATTGCCAGCTGCCATCAGTGCGTCTGAGCAATTGAGCACCAGCTCCCCTTGTGTAGTTTCCTCAGGCTCCCAAGAGCGCCTGAATTATTGAAAACGCCTGCATTTCATAAAACCCCGAGCCCTGAAACCCGTAACCTCCATAACTTCACAAGTCGGAAAGTAGCGATGGTCTCTGGCACAAATCGCTGGGATGCCCCAGGTATCACCTTCAGTGCCAGTCTCAAGCAAAGTCTAGGACTAGGTACCGAGTCAGCGGACGATGACTTCGGAAGCCAAATCTCCCACAGCGCGGGCTGGTGGATTGGTGTTTTTGGAAATCGCAGGGACGACTTTCGAACGGCTGATGGATACTCCAAAGCCATGGTGGCTTGCTCCAGTCAGGTTTCCATCTCTTGCCTCCAAGCCTGAGCCTTAATCCCAAACTTACCTCTTTCTCACCCGCCTTGCTTGTTTGCAGTGTGGCTCAGTCCAGAACTCTGGCCTCCCAGCACAAAAGCGAAACCGAGTCCCAGGAGATCCCAGGTCTTAGACTGGAGAGCCAGGGAATCCATAACGCCTCTTGGGAGTCGAGAGCCCAAGCAAATGCGATGGCCTCTGCTGCTTCTGCTGAATGCGGCGAGGTTTCGTGAAGGGGGGCGGGTTGGTTTTGGGCGGCGAGGGGAGCGCTTGTGCTGGTCCTCTGCAGGCCCATCTCTACCAGAGCGGAGATTCCCGCCGTGGTCACCTTGGGCAACGGCCGCAGGCGCGGCAAGAGGTTCAGACCTTGCCTGGTCCCTAGCAAGCCCCTCACTAGGCTGTGTACTCCGTATATTCTGAAACTATAACCAGACATCGTGAACCTGAATGAAGTGAAGCGTCCTCCACAACATCTGTCACCGCCAAGTTCCCGCTCCTGGGTCTGGGCTGCGCCAGCGGTGTCAGGCTGCATGCAGGGGGGCTTTACAGACAATGTCAAGAGCCCTCTTCGGGCCCTGCGAGGGTTCCCACGCACTTGCAAGGTCAGATTGCTTCGCGAGCGAGTTTCACAGTCCGGCATGACTGCCAGTAGCTTTCCTCCAGGCAGTCGCATGTGCTGTCAGCACTGGAAATTGGATATCGGAGCTTCGATACCGCCCAAGCCTATCAGATGCTGGGCCGCCTCAGTTGTCGGTGGATGTTTGAGGCGCACGCGCAAAGCCCATCCACAGATTGCACCTGCGCCACAGCCGAGGTGGGGCTACCACGAGGAGGAGGTGGGCGAAGCTGTCTACCTAAGCGGCATATCTCGCGAGGAGCCGAGTTTGCATGCAGCAAGTGCGGGAACCTTTCTTGAATCTGCGAGTGCGAGACGCCCTCGAGCCGTCTTGCTAGCTGCCAAGGAGCTGTTTCTGCAAAGTGCCCAGCTTAGTTGTCCCAGCGTCTGGAGTCTTGAGCGGCAAGCACCGATTTTGCAAGCAGTCTTCGGCAAGGGAAGAGGGGTGGCATGCCGAAGCTTGATTCAGGGCTGGTCATGTGGGTTTGTGTCGGAGACCACAGATGAGGCAAGATACACCCAGAGGATTTGGGCTACGCAGCGACGAAGCGGGCGCTCGCGGTGTCGCTGCGGCGATTGAACACCACCTACTTGGATGCGATTCTGCTCCCTGCCACGGTCGTTGGGTAGTCTAGCAGTGTTGAATGTAGAACTGCCTTACGTGTGACGTTTTGCTATGTTGCGCTTTATCAAAGTGCGAGGACTAGGAGGGGTTGAACCGGACTACGCCGTGTGTCGCCTCTGCGTGGCAGTTGCAAGTCCCTGAGCCGAAGCAAGCTCCCAAACTGACCCACCGGACCAGACCCGGCCGTCTTTGTCTTTGAGGTTGCACAAGCCGCGTTGCTGGCCTGGTGCTTGTGCTCGCCATCCAGAGGGCACCTGGCAGGAAAGTTGGCGGGCGTTGGAGGAGCCTGCTGTTGGATTAGAGGGCTTCCCCGGGCTCAAACTGTCCAGAGACTCTCCGGCACCAAGGACGCTCCGCAAGAAGGGCTCTAAAGAAAGAAGCACTGGGAATTCGTTTGAGCCTGGGCCTCCTCTTTGCTTCTCCCCGTCGGATTTTGGCCGGAGAAGGTGTGCTCTAGGCCCTAGGGCCGTTGTCGACTTGAAGCTGGTGTGACACAGGGCAAGGTTTGAACTTTGAACAGCTGGCAGGACGTACTGTATGATGGCCTGGTTCGGGCGATCGGCATTTGTGACGTCGATGGGCCTTTATTGGAGGAGTTGCTGCAGCAACGGCAGAAGCCTCACATCATCCAGAACTGGTGCCTGGCCTGCAGTGTTGCGGGGCGCCAGTGGCAACGGCCTGCTGATCCAAGTCTCTCCGTTTCCGGGTCTGCCGAATCCTCAAATCCCGGGAGGAAGCAAAATAACCCTTAAGCGAACCCTGAAAGGATCCCATTTAAAGGATATCTTACAAGCACCCTATTCTAATTTAATTCAAAAGGGCCTAACAAGAACGCCAAGCCCTGCTCAGCTCCAGGATGGATCCCTTCCACCGGGACCGGGAGGTGAGGCAAAGGTGCCGCGAGGCGCCGACAAAGGGGTCCCCTGTCACTGAAAAAGCCCACAATCCCAAAGGCTCAGGCCCAAAGCTCCAATGCGGAAGGCCGGCATCCAGTACCAAGCCTACAGCAGCCTCGGCACCCAGTGGGTGCACTTCCGGGGCACCTCCTCTGCAAACCGGGAAGATTTCGGGCTTCGGTGCAGGGGGCCCTGCCCTGCCTCGGGGACGAAAGATGTACATGTCGCTGGTTTCCACTGACACGCTACCTAGCGGATGAGTTAGGACTAGGACGCGCTTCCCAGGAGAAGTGGGCAGAGATGTTTACAGCCGTACTTTGTTTTTTCATGCTGCCGGACTTGGCACGTCTTCGGTTCAATAGCCCCGTTGATGCTGCAGAACTTGGCGTGTCTTTGGTCGACGAGCTGGGGCATGTTCTGAACTGACTACTTAGAGACATGCTCAATCATGTGAAGGGACGACGCTTCCTCATGAGACGTGTGCCGACATGGCTGCAGTTGAGCCTGGAATTCGGATGCACCAGTCAGGTAGCTCGTCGTCTGCTAATTTCGCCTGATTCCAGTACCTATGCCGCCGTGGTACATGTGCCTGCCTTGTGCGTTTTGATTTTTGAAACCCTCTGGGTAACGGCAGGAGAGTGTTTCACTAGGCCGACTTGCAAACGCTCATCTGGCACAGTCCGAGTGTGAGAGCATAGACCCTACGACACCCCAGATGTACCGACTGGATTAGCGGTTGGTGAGTGACTTCCGAAACAGAAAACCCGCCCTCTTCTGAAAGCTAGACTGCTTATGCTACTGGAAGTTCCTGCACCGACGGCCGGCAACATCTAAATACATCCTTTCTGGTACGTACTGTTTATGCGGACCTTTGTTGTTAAGGTCCGGCCTAGGAATCTCACCCAGAAGAGCCGCGGACATCTGCCTCGCCTGCATAGTCCGAATGTGAGCGCAGAAGCCCAAAACCCCAAATCCCAAAGCCCTAAACCCGAATTGATGATTAGCTTACTGTAGCTGTCCCACACCCTAAACTCTAAATACCTTAACTACCCTAAACCCTACATACCCTAAGTCCTCAGCCCTACATGCTACAGTTACAAAGCCTCCAACCGAGGCCACATCTTCAACCCGGTCTTTGCCCACCCAGTGCTTCGGACGATCGCTGAGCAGCGCGAAGGGAACGTTGCCCAGGAGCTCCGGAGTCCTTAGTTTTTTTTCAAGTTTTTGGATACTATAGTTAGTCCCTAAGAGAGCAAAAGCTATAGCTAGTTCTATTTTTTAGTTACTATAACCCCGGAGAGACAGCAAGAACTATACTTTAGAAACAAATGTCTGTCTTTTGGTTATTATAACCCCCTAAGAGACAGCTTATATTTAAGACAATGATTGTTGGTAAGGGAGCGAAGTTCATTATGGAGGAACTTTGGCGAAACTGCAAGGGGGGGGTTCTCTTTACGCTGGGATCCTCTCTGAGGGTCCATCCTATAGACTACACGACTTAGGATCCCTCTTGTTTGGGATAAAGCAAGGGACCCTCATGTCAGAGAGCTACAGATTTTCTTCTTCCCTGTTTCCCGACGAGGAATCGTGAATGAGGGGTGGGGAGAATGAAATGGTGGAGGTATTGTTGCGTTGAGGTTCCGGGGTTTCCTTATTCTGTGCACATGCCTAGACATATAACATGAGCAAAGCATCCCAAACCAGAAGTCCAAAATGCCAGGTTGTCCTAGCTTGGGCACTGCACCACGGCGTGGCTGTCATCCCTGCTTCAACAAGCAGGGAGCGGCAGAGGCTCGAGGCTTAGAGCCAGAGTCCGAAGTTGTGCCTCAACGAGCTCATCATGCCCATCATTGTGCATGATCATGCCTTGTGACTAAAAGTCTTTGCCCGGTTCGCCTTTCCATTGCAATATTTCCCCAAGCAGTGAGGTACACACTACGGGGTTCTCATGTCCCAAAGTAAGAGAAGTGGTTAGTGTAAGCTCGAGGCGGTGCAGTGCATATCTTGACCGCATTTCCCACTGTTTACACAGAAGCCGCCGGGCCTCGTTCCCCAAACAGCCAGGCCGGTTGTAAATTCCGGTCTATCGAGGCTCCAGCCTGGGTTTGTCGAGTGGAATTTCGTGATGCACCGTTGTGCGCTGCAAAAACACCCCGCCTATCCGAAATCCCGGCAGGTCGAATTTGGATAGCTTTGGACTCCAGCTTTCGCCTGCTGACGTGGCCCGCATCGACGGTCTGGATGGGGCGCTGGAGATCCCGAAGACGGTAGAACCCTTGATAAACCAACATCACTCCAACATATCATAACCAGGTTGCAGTTCTCAAGTCGACCTGATCCAGAAGATAGACATGGGGTTGCAGGATTCGCAATCCGGGGTCTTGAAGACTTCATTTTTCGAGCCATTTTTGGTAGAACCTGCAGGACCCCCCTTCGGCGGAGGTGACCTTCGAAAACAGCGGCGCTTTGACTGCCCAGAAGTTTGGGGGGATGTGGGGCTTTGATTCCCGGAGTTAGCGATGCTACAAGCTTTGTTCGGTCGCCTGTTGGTGTCAATGCAGCGTCTTGGTGTTTCACTGCTTTTGTTTTGTCACAGCCCATAGCTGTATGTATTTGTAAGTATTCTGCTCCTGCGGGCAGATCTCCTGCATATGGGTGCCCAGCGGATGCGTGGACAATCGTAATTAGGCTGCTTAGGACAATTCTGGGACCATAATTGTTGCGATCAAATGTCAGAGAAAGAGGGAGAGGGAGAGAGAGACAGAGAATCCCTTTAAAGGGCATCAGAAGCCCCAATGCCAGCCACTCAATGATGCATTGTGTGGTTGGACGGGCCTCCGGCCTGAGGGTCGCACGCCGACCCCTAAGAGAATCTCTACAAAGGCCCATAACACAGGGGCGGCCCTGGTGGCCGGTGGGTTCCGAACATCCCCCATGCCCTGTGGATGAAGTCCACCTGCAAGTCTTTCGCTTGAAATCAGCCTTGCCTGCAGCTCACAAGTCGTGCAATAGGCACCCCTGAATCCTCCGCCTTCAGCCCTGAGATCCGGCCCCTCAACCGTTCAGGCTCGCTTTCACAGTCTTCCAGACTTTGGATTTACATTGTTAAGCTTCCTCTGCAGAGACTTAAAGTCCGGACTCGCCGACCAGGCAAGAGCAAACACTCGGTCCACTCCGAGCTGTGAGCCGGCCAAAGCAGCCAAGAGAGAGAGAGAGAGAGCGCCGCGGACAACAGCTTCCGGACTCGTCATTTGCAGAGAGATACAGCAGGACATGCACAGGTGAAGACGTGGATACCAGCAGAAGTGTGCACACCTTATGTTTTTGTATGCGCTCATGGGTAGGACTGTGATTGCCACACACACACATATCACGCATGTGGATGCATGTGTGTACTCATATACTTTGTAAATGTAATCAAATGTACACATACACAACTGGGCTTTTACGATGCTTGTATACTTTCAAGCAAGCATACGTGCAGACGCATGCAGTCGCACATGCGAGTGTAGCTACCCTGCCTGCTTACGTACCTACCTACCTACCTACCTACCGACCGACCGACCGACCGACCGACCAACCTACCTTCCTACTTACCTACCTACCTGCCTGCCTGCCTACCTACCTACCTACCTACCTACCTACCTACCTACTTACCCACCTAC